TGACTGGTTGCTGAATGACCCTGCTGACCCCTAGGGTATTAAGAATTTTTCTGTCAATCTATTTGGAGTGGAAATTTCTGAATGTAACCTTCAAGTGAGCAGCAGGGAACAACTGCTTGAAGTGGAATTCAAGATTGGGGGGTACAAAGTGTACAACAAGGCATTGGAGCATGATGTCTATGCTTGAAGCAAGAAAGAAAATTGCAATTTAACATGCCAGAAAGACCTGAAAAGTGGAATGCAAGTAAGATTGCATATTAAGCACTCAACTTGTGTGCTCGAAAAAAACACAATAGAAGAAAAACATATTTTCTAAATGTAAAGGCAGCCACAATGGTATAACTGTGCTGTGGTAATGAGCATAGAAGTAGAGCACCATGCTCCTGCGGCATGAGTATGAGGAAGATATTATTGTGTTCCTAATGTGCAGTTTAGCTGTGTTGAAACTATCCAAAATGCATCTTAAATGGCCATGTACTGCACACACATTTCATTGTTGTCTTCACTTGTGAGTTTTCGAGATCCATCTTGTTCCAATAATAATTGCAATTCACTTACAGTGGGTCATTGAGTATGTTTACATGGACAACAATAATCCGATGTTAATACAATCAAGACAATACTCTGATTAAGAGTAAACAGGGAATTTTGATTAATTTAATCCCATTCAGGTCATAATCAAACTAAACAGAAATCAGATTTAGACATGTGGAGTATGCCATATTTTAGTTGCATTATTGAAGTGCAGTGCAGGAAATGTAAACACCTTAACCAAACTAGTGTGTTCGTGCTCTAAACTCGCGGTTATTGAAGGCAAAACTCACAGTAAATTTACCCAAATGCGAGTTTGCCAAAGCAACTGTGTTCTATTTGGGAAGGGAAGTAGGGCATGGTTATGTGCGTCCTTTGAAAGAGAAAGTACGGGCAATTGAGGGGTTCCCCGTCCCATCTACAAAAAAAGATTTATTGCGTTTTTTGGGGAATGGCGGGGTATTATGAAGGGTTTTGCTCAAACTTTTCTTTTGTAGTAGCCCCATTAACTAATTGATTAAAAGTGCCTGTTCATTGATTTTACCATCTTTATCATCCCCGCCGCGTATCAGTATGTTAACTCCACAACAAATACTTCAAATAATCATTGGTAAAGTTCTTACTGTAGTATTTCTCACAATCTTACATGAGATTTGCTTCCCTCATGTCTGACACTGTGCTGTTTATCTGATGATATTAAAGATTTAATGTGTTTTTTGGGGAATGGCGGGGTATTATGAAGGGTTTTGCTCAAACTTTTCTTTTGTAGTAGCCCCATTAACTAATTTATTAAAAATGCCTATTCTGTTTGTTTGGTCCTCGGGTTGGCAGCAAGCATTTGACAATGTAAAACTTCTGCTTTTCTCTGATCCAGTTCTTGTTGCGCCGCAGTTTGATTAGCCGTTTATTATCCAGGTGGATGCGAGTCAGATTGGGGCGGGTGCAGTTCTTTTGCAAACTGGGCTGGATGGTGTGGACCATCCAGTTTGTTATTTCTCAAGGAAATTTAACTCCTACCAGGTAAACTACTCTGTTATTGAGAAAGAGACAGACACTTGCTTTAATATGGGCACTCCAGTATTTTGAAGTTTACGTTAGAGGTGGTTCTTAAGTTGTTGTCTTTTCAGATCATAATCCGTTAATTTTTCTACATACACTGAAAAGTCCTAGCCAGAGATTGATGCGGTGGGTTTTGTGTGATATGATTGTTTGAGTGGGTAAGAAAGTTTCTTGTGTGATGGTAATCTTGTGTCTGTTCTTCTCCTAAAATACTTTCAGGATCCAGTTTGCCGGGGGAGAGAAGATGGGGCAAGGGTATGCCAAACTGTAGCTTTACCTGACACTTTACCATCCCAAGGAATTTTTGTAAGCAGTACTAATGTTTTAAGGTTTAGAGAGAGAGAGAGAAAAAAAGGAAAGGAGATGTTTTGAAATTGAAGAGAAGAGCAATTATTGGTATTGTTTGTGGCATATATGGGGGGTGGGGTACTGGGGGATGTTAGGTTTTATGTGGGACCTGTTTGTTTGTTGTGTTTTGTGATTGTAGAGCCTGCATGATTGCAGATTGGTGGGTGGGTCATCTCACCTGAGACCCATTATGTGGTGCATATCTGCTTGTTAAGTGATGACGTGTTGGTGACGTATGTAATTCTGTTTCCAGGTCCAAGCCGCCACTCATTTGAGTTGAGACATTATTCGTTTATGATTACTTTTTATTCATATCACACATTAAAAGTTAATTTTATATAAAGTCATATAGTGTACACAACAATCTCTGAGCTAGCTGCATCACAAATACCAAAATTTTAACAATTTATGAAAAAATGAATTACTTTCTGGCCATCGGACATATATATTGCGATCGTGATTTTCGAAAGTATTAAATCGCTTTGTAAACGTTTATTATTATCATTTCATGAGTCTCCCCATACAGTTGAATAGAGCACTTGGACCGAGAAGCTGCTTAGCATGACGTCACACTTAACAAGCGGATAAAGAATTCAACATTTGACATGAGAGGAGAACTCGATTAGCCGGAACTCCCTGCCTGGCGTTTTTTATTTATTTTAGTTTGTTTTGGATCATTAGCTCAGTTCACTACATGCTTTTCACAACTGACTTTCATTTATACTGACTTTAATTGCTTTAATTACTTTTGTTATGTTTTTGCTAAAATTATTTAAGATTTCTCTTTTCCATTTACCAGGTCCATACTGTCTCTCTAATATTTCAACTTTAAGCCGGTTGTAACATTGTTACTGTTATTGTCATAGCAACGTCTAAGGGCAGAGGATCGTGAGCATATAAATTGGTAAAGGAAGAAGCTATATCCAGATATTGGACGCAATATCTGAATAGCCTCAAAGATTTAACCTGAGAGATACATTACACGCACTGATCTATTATAGAAGTGTTTACAAGCCACGTACAGCAATTACAAGTTACAACACACAATTAAATACATATTTTGCAAATTACAGAAAGCGAGGCATCCATTTTAATCACACTTACATGTTATGTAGAAAGGACAAACACTTACAGGATCTGGAGGAAGAAGAAACTGGTCCATATAAACTGTGTAACAGTTATTAACAAAGTCCCTTACTTAGTAGTCTTTGCTAGTTTGTCTTTTAATAACAAACAGCTCGCAAATCCTGGGCTGCAGTATAGGTTATTGTATTAAACATCAGAAAAAGAACAGGACCAAATAAAGCATGGTAAACTGTGATATTGTTGTGAAAACAAACTTTATCTCTATATATCGACCTTTATTCTCTACAGCCGCATGTCTGGCCATCTCTCAGTGATACTGTAGTGATCTTCATGTCATGATCAATCCCATGATTCCTCACAGGCGCAGTCAGGTTTTACCGGATCCATCACTTTATATTTGGCGATGTACCGATGTATTGACGTTGACACGTCCAGGCAAAAGATCCGAACAAGGAACAAATCATTCAGCTGACTCTGAGTCACCTCAAAAGAATCAATAGTTTTAACTCAGCCTCTCAACCTCTCGACCTCAGCTGGATGTTTTCATTCACTTAGAGCTGTGTTACAAATTGCATGGATGGTAATTTTCAAAAACTCATAATAGAGGATCTTTAAGTCCCCAGTACTTCAAACTGATTTGAAGAACAAAGTGAAATGACATCATTTCGAACAAAATCAATTCAAATGATATTCATTTTGGCAGTTCGAAATAGCTCACCAAAGCAAACTTTTTGTGAAGATTGGATTGACTCCTTGATGTGACGATTACACATTCCGTAACAATTACACACTCTGTGATGATTACACAATCATTAGGTGTGCTCTGAACTCTGAAAACCTCTGAAGATTTTTGACATGCAATTGATCCATATCTCAAATCCACAGAGGTCAAGCAGGAGAACATCATCCATAATAACAAAACCAACATTAATACACTGGCGATTCCAGTAGCAGAGCTGGTGTGGATGTATCAAATTACAAATAATTCCAGTTAAATACAAACTTCCTTTATAAATTATGCAAGACTTGTGGAATCTATTTGATGCAAGAATATATAATTGTGCTGTTTGATTCAGAGAGGAAGAAAATGTTAACTAATTTGGTTTTCTGCTTTTGGAACTATTGATGTCTTGTGATTTTTTTGTATTTGATTCTGTAACTCTGACTAATATGCATCAATAAAACAGTTAAATGAAAAAGTACCCTACCTAAAAATCCATTATATATCACTGATGATGTACTGTGACAACTTTAAAAAATACAACCTATAGATAGTATTTTGTGCAATTTTGTTCAGAAATCTTGTCACCATACTTTACAGTATTTATTCATTCATTCATTTTCTATTCGGCTTAGTCCCTTTATTCATCAGGGGTCAACACAGTGGAATGAACCGCCAACTTATCCAGCATATGTTTTGCGCAGCGGATGCCCTTCCAGCTGCAACCCATCACTGGCAAAAACCCATACACTCTTGCTTTGAGGCGGCAGCACTACCTGCGCCACCGGGTCGTTCAAATATTTTGTTTACAAATGTAAATTTTCTTCATCATTACCTAAGTTGCTGAATTTTCTTTGTGACCTAAATGTTTAATTACTACTTTACAAAATGTAGTAATTTTGTAAAAAAGTGTTAAAACTTTGTTAAAACTGTGACATTTTATAAAGACTTTTAAATATTATTTAAATTGATAATTAGTTTTTTTATTGTTTTTTTTATTAATTTTACTTGTTTATTATTGTACTTAATGTCATCAATGTGGTTAATATGTTTGTATTGTTAAAACACAATAATAATAAAAAATACGATATACGTACGATCAATGGTAATGAATAGTATATATACTATTCATTACCATTGGTCGTACGTCACCTTACGTGATTATTATTCATTAGTCAGCCTTCACCATAGTAGTATTGGTACGTTCGTGGGCGGGCTATATGCATACAGTAGAATAGTCCGCAGATTAGAAGCTCAGGTTGTGATTTCAAAACTAAACAATCAACACAGATCAAATATATAAGGCGAAATGGAGGATATAAAGTCTGAGGAGACGAATGTGGCGGAGCAGAAAGTGAGTATATTTGAAGATTATAACATTAAACCGTTGCAGTCTTAGGAGACTTGAGCTTCTCTGCTATAAAACTGTATTTACAGACTCGGATAAATTCACATAGAATCGATGACACATCGGTTAAAAAGCGATCTTCCTATAAAAATCTGCTTTAGTATCACTTACGGATTTGATGTTAGCTTTATGTTCTGTCTTTCTGGTACATCTGAATGTAACGTTAATTCAAAGCTCTGCTGCTACAGATGTGTTAAGGCCTTCTATGACCAAACATTATGCTCTGATAGAATATTAAAATGACCAGCTCTATTAAAATTCCTGATAGATAATGTGGAGAAAATGTAAGGGTTGAAATGTGGCAATTAATAATGTTGCTATTAGTTTGTTTTGTTCCAGATAGGGTTGTGATGTTAGCTAACCATTAGCATGCGAAGCTAAGTTTACTGGTGCAAAGCCATCAGTATCGTTAAATTACCTACAATTTCTCAGTCTATGTATACGTAAGCTGAGGGAAGTCAGTGTAGATTGACAAAGATTTTATAATCATGAAATTCTGACACGACATACAATGAATAAAGCAGTACCATCATTTCATTCAAAATAATCAATACACTTTGATATTGAAATTGAAGCTCAGTTACATAAAAAGTAATCTCTAGACTAAGATTTGAGAACTGTGGCGATTACGAATATCCCATATTTCTGTTACAGTTAACTATATTAACTATGTTTTATTAGACTGTAATACTTCAGTTCTACCCCTGTAAGCAACTTTTGTTCTCTTGATACCTTTAGATTTTATTTATTAATCTTTCTAAAACATCTAAACATCTAGTTTTACTTTTGGAAATAACTAAATCTGATTCTTGCCATTATATATTAGCCAGAGTTGTTGAGATTATCGGTGCTAAGACTGGGAATAACTATGTTTCCATACATACATTTTATTTACGCTGTTACACAATAGTCCACCAAATTGTTATTATATATCAATTTTTTTATTTTTATCAATGAAATCTACAGATAGATGAGAATGTCCAAATTTATTTTTGTCGCTTTATATTTACATTCAAAGCTAATTTAAAATTAGTCTTTGGATGTCTGTTGTCCTATTTTATGTGGCTATTAACCTAAAATGCAATCTTTTTTAAAACATAGCCTCACTTTGTCTGGCAAGCAGGGGAGCAAAGTATTTTTTTACCCAAATAGAAAATGTTTTTTTGAAATTGAAGTGTACATGTACAGTATGAAGTAATATTATGTGTTTGTTAGTAGAAAGTTGCTGGAAAACCGAGGCACATGTATTCAAAAAAAGCAGAAAAAAGAAATGCTTTCGGTCAATTTAACTACTGTACTGTAGCCAATACTAGCCATTCAAGGTAGAAATTAGGGCTGTACAATATATTGTTTAAGCATCAATATCGCAATTTGTGCATCTGCAATAGTCACATTGCAAGATATGCAATGTTGAGTTATGAATATAGATGACCAGAATCCACAGGTCAAAACATGAGATTTGTGGAGACACTGCAGAATTTAACCATTATAGAGTGACAGTTTAAACGTTTTTAAGGCAAGGCAAGTTTATTTATATAGCACATTTCCTACACAGTGGCAATTCAAAGTGCTTTACATAAACAGGAATAAAAAAAGACAAGTTTACGAACATAAAAAGGCCTATGTGAACATTTTAAGAGTTTAAAGCATTTAAGACAACATAAAGAGGATAAAAAAGACATTTTATTGAATTATATATGAAGTCTATGCAATTCTCTTTTACTGTACATTTGATTTTTCAATTTCTGTACCCGAATACTGTTAGACACTCCCAGGAAAAACAACACACAGTTTATTTCACTTGAATATTTGCTCCATTGTGTTTATTTATGACTGTAGTTTGTTTGTTATATGTATATAATAAATTACATCAAATAAATTTATATTCAAACTAAAGAGCCCCTATTATACAATAAAAGGGTTATATTTTGGTTTTAAGGGTCTCCAACAACAGGCTGACATGCATGCAAGGTCAAAATACACTTTCATTGTCTTGTAATGTGCATTTTTTTTTACCTAATTATCCCAGCGACTCTCATATGAAATGTTTAGCGATTCATTTGTTCCCAAACCCCTCCTTAGCGCGAAGCTAATCTGCGCTGATTGGACCGATGACAGCCTGTTGCGATTGGTCGACAGCGAAATGCCCACCACGGCTTATCAACAATATTGAAGTAGTCAGAGTGCAGAGTGTATGTGTAAGGCAACACTCGTGTTTTTCCTGGGAGTTTTGCCGTATTTCAGACCCGTCTCCAGCCACCAACCCACCCATTTTGTTATTTATCCCGGAAAACACCCGTAATCTCAACACTGCGTGTTCAGCGCAAATGTAAAATCTAACACTGTACACATCATCGCCAAAGTAGCTTGCCTTTAAGTTTACACTAAAACTGCGGCTTATAACAAAGATCGGTATTGCGCCGGTGGTCATCGCAAGAATTCTGCTCTTCCTGCTCATATATTGGGTCAGCTGACTCACCTGCTTTCCACAAACACAGAAAAATTAAGATCAGCTCATAACGAGACTGAGCATTTAAAATGACACACACTGAAATCAAAATGATGTCATATTTCAATTTAGTTACTGATGACTGTTTTGCAGCTTTCAGCATTGAATCGAATGATTTTTTATAATCTTTCGTTTGTTTTGAAGCCAAAATATTATTTATTAAACTGACATGCATATAAAAACAATAGCACAAAATAAATATTTCTTACTGCAATGCTTAATTTTTTTGATGCAAACCATTTTTTCATAAAGTAACAGACTTTTTATAGCAGATAACTTACATTCAAGCACATTCAAAGCAGCATCATAATGAGAAATGTAATTCATTGTTACTATTATTGTTATACATTTTCATCATCATTAATATTCTATAATTATTAGACATGCATTTTGGAATTATTGCACAAATATCAAGTCATCTCAGCATTAGTTAGATAGTTGTTTTTGGTTTTTGTTAGTCCTAATGTTGTTTTCAAATACAATATATCCCTTAAAATAAAATTTGCAGTGGTGCTCATTCATTTTTGGTGGGTGCTCCTAAATTTTTTCTGGTGCTCCTAAATATTTGAAGTTGGGAGCACTACCAAGTAAAAAAGTAAATTTCGAGCCCTGATCAATATATCAACTTATTGTGCAATACATAGACATGACTTCGATCATTTCGGTGAAGCATATATATCGTCCATCGTGTGTACATAAAAATGAAATGTCTTCAACATTTTAGCTGATTGGTTACCTTTTGTCATCTCATCCTATCTCCATTGGAGGCGTCAGCGAGTTCAGGGTTCAACTCTTTAACAAACAATGCTTACTAAAAGGTAAAGAAAAGGTGATTTTTCACATTATCCTGAAAACCTCTGACAGGTTTAGTAGACGGTGAAGTTCCAGTAAAGTGACCATTCAGAAAAAAACGTTAAAGCCACTTTACAAGCACATTTACATGTAGTTTTTGTCACTTTAATGTGTTGACTATTTATATGCTGTAGAATCATATAAACACAGATATAAACTGGTCTTAAAATGGCAGTAATAACACTTATTGTTATCATGTATATCAAAATATTTGCACAACAAAAATTACTAATTGTAACATTCCTAATTACAAGCATGTTTGATATCTTCTGACTATTTGTGACTGAAGTGCAATCGTTTCATCATTTCACATTTATACTTTGGAATAACTTCTTAGCGTGTCTGAGAAAAAAATTAAATGGCGCCAATATGGCTCAAATGTATTGCTGTTAAAAGCGTGATGTTTTTTTTTTCCTCAGGATGAGGAGAATAAGATCTGTCTAGAGAAAATGGAGGAAGCCAAACTGAAGGCCAAATATCCACACCTGGGTAATAAACCCGGAGGGTCCGATCTCCTCAGAAAACGACTGCAGAAGGGGGTGAGATCCATTAACACTCTCTCTCTTTCTATCCTTATTGGTGGGATGATGGTTTTATACTGTAAAGATGTGCAAGTTGTGTTAGGCCCAGGACACACAGCATGCCAACACCAAACATCCATGAAACCCAACTGTGTAGTTGCCTCACGTTGGGCTGTGTCTGGACAAAACACACGAAACGCATAAAAGCCAACTTAAACTAGAGCTGCCTTTTGAGCCTATACAGGTGTCTTTTCACTCTGCGGTAGAGAGTGATCTGTTTTCTTGTTCCACTGTGAAGAAAATCTAAAACGGTGTATGGAAAGCATCGTCAATGCACCGTGATGCACCGAGATATCAAATTGAACCGAATCGATGGCATGATAATCGTAACCGAACCAAACCGTGAGACCAGTGTAGGTTCACAGCTCTATAAACAAAGCAGCATATAATGTAGGGCAGAACAATAAGGCATGCGATTGTCCTGCGCATCATTCTATAAAGCTGGCTTCTATATGGGCTTCTGCTGTAAGTGTCAGTGAAAGACTGTCCAGCAAACACACACGCAGTGAAATTGAGCAGTTTCTTCGTTTTTAAGTTGTTTTTAAGTAGATTGTTGTACATACTCGCGCTCGCCTCCCTCGCCATAGTAAGCTACCGCGACATGGCGCATATGAGATAAATGACGTCAGTACATAATAACTGGTTATGATTATTACTGAACCGATACCGAATTGTCCGCGTCTGCACCGTGGTGCACTGAAGAAACAATTAATTTTGACACCCCTAACACAAAGCCATATTTCACATTTACATATTTCTTGGGATTTCATCATGCGAATGATGAGTTAAATCGCAAATAATCTTTCTGTTTGCGTTCCTTCTCGGTGAATTACAGCCTTTTGTATTAAATGTTGCTTATGTTAAACCAGAACGCACGTGCAAATACCACATTTAATAATGTTTTTACTGAAAACTTGCTTCATAGTTTCAGTCAAGTGTTTGAAATGGGTCCTTCTGTGAAATTAGGGCTGGCTGATAGTTTGATAACGATAATTATCACAATATATATTTTTCCGATAAAACGATTATGACAGTTCAATAAGTGTTTGAAAATATTTAGCAGGGCTAGACAATAATTCGATATCAATATATATATCGTGGTACATTTTTTTTTCAATAACAGCGATATGAGTTTTAAACCCATTTCTGATGTTTCGATATATATATATATATATATATATATATATATATATATATATATATATATATATATATATATATATATATATGTATATATATATATTTTTTTTAATTATATGTATAATAACTTGTATATAATCATTTGTTGCTGAATAATGTGCAGTGCTTAGCCGTCAAAAAGAACGTGATGTCACTTGCGTGATGACGTACATCACAGACATGCGCTGTCAGCACTCAGCAGTTGGTTAAGCTCCATCGCAAAAAGTTTTAGCTACAAAATGAGTGCCCTGAATACAGAATGTGAATGAACAAGCTTCCACAAGTAGGAATGCAGATGAAATAGTTGATAAGAGAGGAAAGACTAATGCAGTGGTGTGGAAGTGGATCGGCTTTTTAAGTTCCGATAAACGTATAGTTTCGGTGCTCTGCACAATTTGCCGGAGAGTGGTGCCGACTAGCATCGGGAACACATCAAATCTGTTCCACCATTTGAAGCAGTTCCACCCGATTAAACATATTGAGAGTCAGAAGTTGAGGCATTATAAAAGTTTAAGCCAACCTCCCTGACACTGAAACCAGCGGTGTCAGAAAAGAAGGCAATGAAGCAAACACAGATGCTATGAGGCACCTTGTAGGATTCAAATCAAACTTCGTTTATCAACACATACATAAAACACATGACCTGCATATACACCTATTCTATTTAATGTTCAAAACTTGTATGAAACTTGCACATTTACATATAAACTTGATGCATGCATACACCCACATACACACCCCAAACATACATACGTACGATCCTCACATAAACACCTAAATTAACACTCACATTATCACTTTTTAATATTGTCCATATCGATATCGGGAATATATAATATCGACTGTAATTAAGAAATATATTGTGATCTAAATTTTTACCATGTCGTCCAGCCCTAATATTTTCGCACTATGTGTAATGCTGCACAGGCATTTTGCAGCCTGCCCTTCCGGATGCCGCATGCAGTAGCCTACAAGTTTACAGTCATACAGTGTTAGTTGCACTTGAAGGAGTAAGAAAAAAATAAGGTAAAAAAAAGTCACAGACATTGATGACAAGAAACATCTCTACACTCAGTAGTCTGGAGCTACTTAGTTTTTTGCAATCCGACACAAAACAGAGCAATGTGCACTGCAAACAGCGCAGACGACTCTTGCCATTAAAAGCAGGCAACACCACAAACCCGTTTCATTAATTAAAACAATGCCACTCTTATAAAGATGCTAAGAAATTACAGACCCAAACAAGTGTTGGTGAACCAGCGCAACTACCCAGCAGAGTTTCATGTCATCATTTTCAAAAGCCATGCCTTACAAGAAAAAACTCCAGTCATAAGAGCAACAAATAATAACTGGCAGGAGATAGATTTTTCAGATGAATCATCTGTTGAACTGCATCCCCATCACAAATACTGCAGAAGACCTATTGAAACCCACATAGACCCAAGATTCTCATAGAAATCAGTCAAGTTTGGTGAAGAAAAAAGTCATGGTTTGGGGTTTTATTCAGTATTCAGTGAGAGATCTGCAGAGTGGATTTCAACATTAACAGCCTGAGGTATCAAGACATTTGTGCTGCTCATTGCATTAAAAACCACAGGAGAGGGCAAAATCTTTACCAGGATAGAACTCCTTGTCATACTTCAGCATCCACATCAAACTTCCTGAAAGCAAAGAAGGTCAAGGTGCTCCAGGATTGGCCAGCCTAGTCACAAGACATGAACATGATTGAGCATGTCTAGGGTAAGATGAAGGAGGGGGCATTGATAATGATTCCAAAGTGTCTTGATGAACTCTGGGAGTCCTGCAAGAACACATTCTTTGCCAATCCAGATGACTTTTCTGAATGAGTCATTGCAGAGATGTATGGATGCAGTCCTCCAAGCTCATGGGAGTAATACACAATATTAATTCCTTTTCCACTACACTATGACTTTATATTCTATACTGTACATTAGTGAAGTTTATTTATAAACAAATTTCAAGAGGATCACGTGCTTATGATTGTTCAACTGTTTCAGCTTTAGCTAATGATTGATTATCCCATCAGACGATCCTTAACTCAGTATAAATAACCAGACTTTTCTCATCTCAATATCTTCGTCTTGAAGAACCCCCACCCAACCCTCCTTTCCCTCCTTTCAAAAGGGCGACACCTTGGCCAGTGATTACCGCTGTTGCCTCACAGCAAGAATGCCCCTGGTTTAATTCCTTTCCAAACCAGGCGACATTTTTGAGTTTTGCTTCTTCCGTGATCGCTTGGCTTTTCCCCGGATCCTCCCACAGTTTAAAAACAAGCACACTACACATTTAATCCAAAACATTTTAGCCAAACTCTTGAGTATACCTTTTCAGCATCCATATCTGACACTTAGCTACAATAAGCAGGAGGGGGAGTCATCAAGATCTACCTGAGCTCAAACTCCCCTCTTGCCTTGCAACGGGAGGGAGCCCAGGGCTCGAGGATCCTATAAGCTAAGGGCTCTCTCCCGGGACAGCACGCCTCACTAGCTCTATTATCAATCATCAGCTAAGTATGAACTCTTGAATTTCTGTTAGGTGACAAGACTTTTGTCTCACCAAAGGCAGACCTTACTGTCCTAATTAATTAATTAAAAATCAAGGCATGATCATATTTTATTTTGGTAAAATAAATGTAATCTAGAGGCCTTTGCCTTTTATATAAGCCACTTCTGATACCGAATGATCAACTAGAAGTCAAGTTATTATTTATTGTTCTTAATACTTGATAGGCAAAAAGACTTTTGTCATATGTATAATGTTAACATATAGTTTCTCTGGATTTATTTTTTACTGCAAATGTCATATCCATAATGCTAGAGTCTCATAAAACTCTTCTCCACCGCTTTCTTTTCCAGCCAAAGTACTTTGACTCGGGTGACTACAACATGGCGAAGGCCAAAATCAAGAACAAGCAGCTTCCAGCAGCGCAGACGGAGAAGGCCGAGATCACCGGAGACCATATCCCCACTCCTCAGGACCTCCCGCAGAGGAAAACCTCTCTGGTGGCCAGCAAACTGGCTGGCTGATACCTGCTGCTGTCCTTCCCTCCACACTCCCACTTCCTGTCTCTTCATCCATATTTCTCTCTGATCCTGCATTCCTGCCCTCGTCCTCTCTCTTGTTTCCTGTCCTCTGAAAACACACTGAATATTCAAGGGTTGCAGATGTTCCAGAGCTGTACTGCCGCACTGTGAGATGGGCTGGGTCGTGGCTCCAAAGGGGGGTGAAGTTCTCAAAGGTCTTCTGGTATTTTTCATGTGTTGTAGTGTGTAGTCGAAAGTGTACATATTTACTAGTGAGGGCAAACAGCATTTTAGAAGATGTTTTGCATTTTAAAAACTGTAACCATTCCTGAATTGCCCACTGCTTAGAGGACAAGGTCTCCCAGAAATGAAAATTCTGATGTCATTTACTCTACTTAAAAAGGGATGTTTAGTGGAATGTCCAAGCTGCTCTGTTTCAAACAAAGTCTGTCGAAGAAAAGGGCTGAAGAGTCTTCTAGACTTGATGTACAGTAAGTTTGTGTGGGATATAAGGATATTTAAGTAATTCCCTAGCATCATCTCTGTTTGCGTTCAGTTCAAATACAAGTGGTGTGCTGCAGTCAAGTCATGAGAAATGCAGCAACCATTGACATTCGGACCATAAAAACATCAGACCAAGTATGAGTATGTACAATTGTAAATGAGATTACAGTGAGGTGCTATTAGATAACATTAGTATTAGTTGTCCTCAGGATGTCAGTCCTGATCATCTCATTATAATTAATGAAGCTGCTTTCATCTTACTTTCATCTTGTTGTTTATGATGAGAAAATTCACGAGTGTGAAAAATTTAGTCAGCAAACATTCGACAAAATGTCAGTGTTTTAAATAGTGTTCAATTTAAAGTCCCTGCATTCTTATTGGCTGTTTTGTTTCATCTAAAAACAAATGCTGCTAATTGATACTTCTCATTCATTTTCACAGGCAACTTCCAATTTCGACGGCCATAATAATTTAGTTTAGTTTTATTCCACTTTTGTTTTGAACTTGTGCAAGTTTTGTCTTTTTTTGTGGCAGATCGACCCCTGTTATATTCTGACCCTGTTCCTCATGATTTACTTTGCCAAACTACGATCGCTTTGTGTGATCTGCCAAATTAGTGATTTCCAGTTCAATGTGAATTATTGACAAAAAACTATTTGCACACAATTAATCAGAGCATCTATAATTGCAGTATTTCTTAACATTAGCTCATTTTATCACAAATCTTGCATTGTTACAATATTTAGAGCCATGTTAAAATGGGGCCCATTTCAGTAAGGAGGTACCGACTCTAGGTTTACACTTGAACACAGAGTTGACTTACTCTGAGATGGGAAACTCAGTCTTTTCAGTTTCAGATCAGCTGAAGTTAGTTCAATCAACTCCGAGATTGGAGCTTCTCTACTTGACAAAGTTAAAACACATGACAAATAGTCTGTTTTTTGATTTGCATTAAGATTATTTTTAATTCCTCAAGGATAGATAATTTTACTTAAGCAAAATGCATTTAATTTAATTGCCCTCAGCAAATAAAAATAAAGCAGGTCGCACACCAGAAGTGCCGCTCGGCAACACGCCGCGTAGGGCCACGCACCGCCAGGCATTTTAGAATTCTAAACATAGGTTTCTATCAGGGTACACACACCGGTGCCACAAGTCGGCGGCTGTTGGCGGTGCCACCAATTTACCAGGCACATGTTAGACTTGTCGTTTTCAAGGACTCATTTTCAGATATTATCGCAAACTTAACCACATTTATGCAGACACTGCAACAGTGGCATTTTCAAAAACTTCTACTTTTAAAACGGATAAATCTCAAAATGGGTTACAAAGACTTGTTTTCGGGTGTTTACGCAGACACGACAACAGTGGCATTTTCAGATTTGTGTGTTTTCAAAGACTCCTTTTCAGGTATTTATGTGAACATGACTATGGTCGTGTTATTCAAAAATGCCTTCTTTTTAACCCGTTTTCACATTCATTTGATATCAAAGACTCCTTTTCGAGTGTTTATGCAAACACGACAATGGTGATATTTAAAACAAAAAACTTCTACTTTGTAACCATTTCAGATTGATGTTTTTCAAGGACTTGTTTTCGGGTGTTTATGCGGACAACAGTGACATTTTTAAAAATGTTCTACTCTGTAATTATTTTCAGATTTGTGTTTGCAAAGACTCGTTTTTGGGTGTTTACGGGGACATAAAACGGCGGCATTTTCAAAAACTAAGATTAATGCGTTTTCAAACAATCATACTTTCGGGTGTTTATGTGGACATGACAACGGTGGCATTTTCAAAACTTCTACTTTGTAACTCGTTTTCAGATTTATTTGTTTTCAAAGACTCTCGCTTTCATGTTTACACAAACACAACAATGTTGACGTTTCAAAAACTACCTTGTAACTATTTTCAGATTTGTGTATTCAAAGACTCGTTTTTGGGTGTCTACGTAGACACGACAAAAGTGGCGTTTTTAAAAGCTTCTACTTTGTAACCCGTTTTCAGATTTATGTGTTTTCAAAGACTTTTGTTTTGGGGTTTTTATGTGGACACGACAATGGTTACATCTTCAAAAATGTCTACTTAATAACCGTTTTCAAATTTATGTGTTTTCAGTCCCAAAAACAAAATTGGCCTGTGAACAAAAAGACATATTGGATGAAAACATTGACTTGTTAAACAGCCCCTAAATATCTAATATAATTTTCATATAAAGTAATACCGTCTTGATGTAAGTGCTGTGCTTTTTCTTCATATTTGTACTTGAAATACGATAAAATATCTAAAAAGTTTTTTGCGACATGCATGATGGAATGTAGTACTTAAACATTGCTTGCCCATTTGAAAGGGAGAGAAGACTGAGAGAAGCTCTTAGTTTACCAAAGAAAGCCTGCTTCTGACCAGTTAACCTACCTTGGTAACTGACTATGAACTGAATATGAGTTACCTCCCTAGTTTTAGAAATGGGTTTGACTTACTCTGCTTTCTTAAATTTGACACGTCCCATTCTGAAACACAAAAACTAGAGTTTCCCTCATTTCAGTGTTAACATACTCAAGAGTTTTCACTTTACCTTCTTTCTGAAATCCCCTGATCACACTAATAATTGTAACAATAATGATAAAGATTGTATTAAAAGTCATTCATTTTACAATAATTGTCCACATACCACTATAACGGTACAGAGGAACAATGTTGGAAACCATTTCGGCTTCTTTAAAACACAGAAACCACCATACTTCAGAATCATTGCCAAACCGAAGTTCCCAAAACTAGCTACTTTAAAGGCCTTTTTGCGTTGAAAGGTACAATAAATTGACATTTTTTATTTTACTTCAATGATTGTTGGCGCGTTTAATTAATGTGGTCGTTCCATTGTGTGAAAGGAATGCAGCTTAAATATAATATCCCCCCCAAAAAAAGTCATATATGTGTCGTGGATATCTCAGAAAGACTTTAAAGTGAGTAAATTTGACCAGAATTTTCATTTTGGGATGAACCTTTCCATAATTATGGACTTGAGTGCTTGAACTGATTGTGGATTGAAAGTAACCTCTAATAATGTGGTTGATCTGCACCCTGTTTCTTTCATGAGAATGCTTGTCTCTCTTTTTTTTGGTCATGTTTCAGCTTTAAGTGGAGGACACTCGATTCGTCATGTTTGATAGCATGTATGCAGGTCTCTGAGGCTGCTGTCATCTTGCCTTGTATCATAGAGCTTAAAGCCTTACAATGATGTAGTGCCAATGCACAGATTGGCAAGCAGTTCTAGAACGCCACACGTACCTTTTTCATACATCACTTGGGTCTGGATGTAGACACCGGGCAGTAAGGAGGCTTCTCTACCTTCTGGTGTGTAATAAACTCCACGAGATCTCCTGTACATTGTCTTCTATGCAGAGGAGGGAGACGGTTGTCTGTCGGCTCCTCACACACACATCGTCGCACTACAGTCAATTGTCCACGGTTTGCATGAGCATAGACTGTGGCCGCTTTTGAGCCATTTTGACTTGTAAATAAAATAGTTTTACAAACCTTCTGTGCCTTTGAGTCGATTTTTGTCATCTATCTCAACCACAAAAGAATGCTTTGAGGATTGCTATTAGACATCGTGTTCGCCATTTGTAATTTTTTTTTAACTACCAGAGCATTAGCAGACTATCATGCTAATCTTTTAAAAATAAATTTAGACAAATTTGGTTCTATTTTATTTGTTTATTTATTTTTGTTTTTGATGTGTAACTGATCAAATATATTCTGAGTATTAAAAATGAACAGTTAAGGATGTGTGTACCGAAGGTGTATCCCTTCTAGACTTTACCGCTTAGCACTCATGCTAACTCTTCACAAGATCAGCTTCTTAAATACTAGAAAGTGTTTAATATCTTGATTAAAAAAAAAGAAAAAATCTATATATGTATTATATCATTTTTGCATCAAGTTACACGCACACACACACACACATATATATATATATATATATATATATATATATATATATATATATATATATATATATATATATATATATATATATATATATATATATTATAGTTGAAGTCAAAATAATTAGCCCCCATTTGATTTTCTTTTGTCTTTTTTAAATATTTCCCAAATTATGTTTAACAGAGCAAACATTTTACAGTATGTCTAGTAATATTTTTTTCTTCTGGAGAAACCAGTTTTTAATTTTCTAAACACCATTTAAGGGCAAAACTATTAGCTCTTTAGGCAATTTTTTTTTTCAATAGTCTACAGAACAAACCATCATTATTCAACAACTTGCCCAATTACAATAACCTGCCTAGTTCACCTAATTTATATATATATATATATATATATATATATATATATATATATATATATATATATATATATATATATAATAGCACTACTACTAAAAGTGAAATTAAGTAAATTTACGAATAAATTACAATTTATGTGATAAAAAAACTGAATATTTGTTCTAATTATTATCAATGTGGATTATCAATGTGGGAACCAGATTTTTGGTATTTAAAATTAAATATGAATTATTAGTAACTAATTAATTATTGATAGGTTGAAAATTTTCCTAAGCACCAAATCAGAACAACATGACAATATGCTGATAATATGTTGATTAAAAAAAAAACAATATATATATATATATATATATATATATATATATATATATATATATATATATATATATATATATATATATATATATTATTAATATTATAATTTTTTTTTATTATTACCATTCATTCATTCATTCATTTTCTTGTCGGCTTAGTCCATTTATTGATCAGGGGTCGCCACAGCGGATTGAACCGCCAACTTATCCAGCACGTTATTACACAGCGGATGCCCTTCCAGCCACAACCCATCTCTGAGAAAATATTTATTACCAAATTAATAATAAAAAAAGGTTTATTTAATAATGTTACAGTTGAAGTCAGAATTATTAGCCCCCCTTTGATTTTTTTTTCTTTTTTAAATATTTCCCAAATGATGTTTAACAGGGCAAGGAAATTTTCACAGTATGTCTAGTATTATTATTTTTTTCTGGAGAAAGTCTTATTTCGGCTAGAATAAAAGCAGTTATTAATTTTTTCAACATCATTTTGAGGGCAAAATTATTTGCCCCTTCAAGCATTTTTTTTTTCGACTGTACAAAAAAAAAAACATTGTTATACAATAACTTGTCTAATTACCCCCTTCTGCATAGTTAACCTAATTAACCTAATTAAGCCTTTAAATGTCACTTTAAGCTGTATAGAAGTGTCTTAAAAAATATTTAGTCAAATATTATTTACTGTCATCATGGCAAAGATAAAATCAGTTAGAGATGAGTTATTAAAACTATTATGATTAGAAATGTGTTGAAAAAATCTTCTTTAAACAGAAATTGGGGAAAACAATAAACAGGGGGGCTAATAATTCTGTCTAACTGTATATAATGATAATGTTTATTTAATATTAATAATAATAAATCATATAATAATAATAATAATTATAATTATTACTGTTATTTTTATAGGTTTTATTAATATATAAATTATTATCAAATTACAAAAATATTTTCTGTCATTGTTTTTCTTTTTTATACTTTGAATTTCTCTAAAATTAAAAACAACCTAATTTGATATTAAAATAGCAAAAATTTAAACAAAATTTTAGAAAACTGCTGGGATGCCAGCGTGTGATGATCCACTCTTGTCCACCAGAGCGCACTCTTGCCTCATTGTTTCTCTCGGTCATGGCAACCGCGTTTTCATTGACTCATTCTCTGCATAGATCGCACCCAGAACGAACAGAGACACGCCAAAAAAAAAAAAAAAAAGAACTCACACGCGAGCAGCAGCTCCATGAGAAATGAGCAGAAGCCTTTGGATTCATGACGTCCTCCCAAAGACCTTTCGCTGAGTGAAATCCACCGGAGAGACTTGAATGTTCGCGACCGTTCGGATGTTCAGCTGACTGTGATTTGCAGGAACACCGAGCGACCATCATCATCATGGCTGCGTCTGAATTATATACAAAGGTAAACTCACACACTCAGCATCTGGCCGTCTGGACGTCAAATATAAATGCCAAGGCTGTAAATTAAACGCCAGCGTGTTGACAAAAAGCGCGGTTATTGCTGATTGCACGTTGGTCGTGTTGTCATTGTAGTGCATATGTTGACATTATTGCCCTCTGATCATATGAATTATGTATTTCACCACACATGCTTTATTCCTCATGAATAGCTCATTGTTTATGCTCTAAAACGACAGTGTTATGCTTATTATTCTTTTGTTATATGAGATTAACACGCTATTTACCTTTTAAAACGTCAACATTGTTAAGAAATGCTGCGTTAACTGTAGCATTTATAGTGAATGTTTATGAAACACTGCATTGCTTGTCATTTTACTGCAAATTAATGCATGCATAAGCTTTTAACTGTATTAAATGCACTATTGATAGTCAGATGCAAAAAAAAATCTTGAGTGTTAGGCAAGCAAGAGGTTTTCAAAGGATGTATTGATATGGGTCACAGTTGTGGTTGATGGCTGAGAGCCAGTGGGATGCGGGCGGTGCTGATGTGAGCATCGTTGCCTGCATGGGATGATGGGAGCATCTCTGGTGCTGATGCGAGCATGCTCTAACACAGTCTGCATCTTGCAGTGAGTAGTTGTTTTGGGTCTCTTGCTGCGCGGCCTGTTCATATTTAAGGCGTGTCTCTTTGAAGACAAAAATAAGTGTGATATTGTTGCGTAGCAGCCTGAATGTGACGTCATCACATATGGTCATAATGATGTCTCAGATGACGAATGACTGGTTGTTTTACTCAAGAGTGAGAGAGAGAGAGAGAGAGAGAGAGAGAATGGGGGAGGCTCACCCATCCCCCATGATGCAGCTGTCTTATTGTAAATGCACTGATGGATTCTTTTGAAATCTCCTAGAGCACAGAATGTTTATTTGGATTCAGGCCTTAGACAAGTAGCAACGATCTGTAGCTCTACAAAGGTTTTTTTGTAATAGACTAAAGCATTTTTATATGGGTAACATGGTTGGTTTTGTGGTCAAATGATATACTTTCTTGGCAAATTGTGGGCCATTTAATGATTGAAATATATGTGTTTTATTTTAGTATTAGGCATGGGCCGGTATATGATTCTGACGGTATGATAACCTTGGATAAAATATCATGGTTTCACGTTATTGTGATCTCTGCACTAAAATATATTCTTTTTAAATGTCTGGGTAAAAAACAAAACAAAACAAAAAAAAAAAATCCCCCTTTGAAAATGATATATTTTATTTTAAGAAACATTTGTAGTATTTTGGAACAATACACATGTTAGGCTAAATAATTCAAATGAATCATTGACTTCTGCTGTCTTCATTAGTTTTGAAAATACATATTTCTTTACATTTTAGAACTGCATCTTTGAATATCTTTTCAGCTGGAGATACTGTTGTCCTTAAAACAAACAAAAACAATCTTATATATAACTTAGAAATGGTATAGAAGAAAATTTTGGCCGTTTTTAAACCTTTACTTTTTTTGAAAACAGTTATCGTCTCATGCCTAATTAGTATTAGGTATAGTAGTAGGTATAATAATACTAATACCTAATTAGTATTAGGCATTAGCCAGTAAAAGGTTCTGACCTAGGAAAAAAAATCGCAGTATTGCAGTATTAAAATAAGTTATTTTTAAATGTCTGGGTTAAAAAAACTGCAGCTTTTGTCCTATTGAACATAATATATTGTATTTTAAGAAAGAATAAGGGGGTCTTTGGATATCTTTTTTAACAGAAAATTTTAGGTTTTCAAAGCAGGACTTTTCTTAACTGTGGTAAACCTTGAAACCAGTTTTGTGACTAATTGGTAAATATTGGAATTATATTAGATATAAAAAACTGTATAAAACCCAATAACAATATATAATGTATAAAACAATAACCCACACAACACTGCAATCGGTTGACAAAGTTCTCTGTATAAATTACAAATGTATACTTTAGCATTAGTTACAGTTTTGGAAAAATAGACATTTTGATTTTGTAATGGAATAAAATGCAAGCTTGTGAAAAATTAAATTTTCAATGTCTAATTGGCAGCTCTATTATACATTACAACCTATTGAAGATTTCTGAGGAGGATTGAAAAATTGAAGGATCTACTGTAAAGCTATTTTCTTTTTTATTTATTTATTCATTCATTCATTCATTTATTCATTCATTCATTCATTCATTTTCTTTTCGGCTTAGTCCCATTATTAATCAAGCGTTGCCACAGCGCAATGAACCACAACTTATCCAACATATTTTATGCAGCGAATGCCCTTTCAGCCACATCCCAGTACTGGGAAACACCCATACAGTCTCGCATTCACACACGCACACTACGACCAATTTAACTTATTCAATTCACCTATAGCGCATGTCTTTGGACTTTGTGGGGGAAATTGGAGCACCCGGAGGAAACCCACGCCAACATGGAGAGAGCATGCAAACTCCACACTGAAGCTGCAACTGGCCCAGCCGAGGCTCA